ATAATGGAATGCGGAGGGGAGTCGTGATCTTATCCCGTCTCATTTCCTGTTGGCGAAAAAACAAGAGGGGGAGGAAATAAAAATTTTTTGATAAGGGTCCGTTCTTAAAGAACAAAACTGGAAGGGGTCGGTGATTACACGGAAGGGATGCGGGATCATGCTCCCAGAGGAACGTCGGTAATGATACGCGGTGGTAACCCCAAGTGACAATAATGCCATATTTGCATATCCACCCTCACATCTAACGGAAGTTTCCATGGTAAACAATTTCATCAACACTTGGCAAATGTACAAGTGTTATTAAAATCTTGTTTTCCTTCCATTAATTTTACATAGACACTGTTGATTTATTGCAATACATTTGTCTTTTGTCTTCCCGTTTACCACATTTCTATCGTGATTTGACAAAAGAACGTTAAAACAATAAAAACTTTTAAAAATCATATCAACCTTACCATTTCTCAAAAAATCATAAAGGTTCGTTAGGTTATAAGAAAAGTATTTGTACATGAAAACACTATTAAATACAAAGTCAAATTTTGACTTGTTTTCCGTGGTTCGAAGTTGTCTGAGTCTAAATGTAGAAAAAAAGATAGGCTTCAGTTAAAAAATTACCCATAGAAAGCTCCTAACTTTGACAACACGATTTGTAATCGCCATCAAAGTTCATAATTAATTAAGGTTTTTGGTTGAGATAAAAAAGTCAATGGCACGAGCGGGATTCGAACCCACGATCTTCGATACGCCGCTGTTCTACCACTTGAGCTATCGTGACCTCGATCAACTCGGACACCAACTTCCCATCTCAACCCCACCTTTTGAATTTTCCCTCCTTTTTGCCATTTTTCTCTCTGACTTTTTTATCTCAACTAAAAACCTTAATTAATTGTAATATATTAATTGGTCAAGCGGACCACGAAATTAATGAATTTAAAGTTCATAATGCAAAATATTTTTTATCACCCATTATAATTATGTAATCATTGACGCGTGTTAGCTCACACTGCCATTAGCTCGTGTTGAATTATAAAACTAAACTAAATATATCAGGTATACAAAATAAATTTACTTGGATGGATCCGAGGACTTATAGTAGTACAGGGAAACGCGAGAGCGGACGTCCTTGAAGGAAAGAGGCTGCTATACCGCAGACACGTCCAGAGCTCTTCTATGGAATAGGGATTCACTCTATCTATTCACTCTACCTTAGACAAAAAGACAAAATGAAAATGAAGAAAAAGTCGGATTAGACACAACCAATGCAAAACCATCTAGCAAGTTTTGGAAGAAAAGAAGCTACATAATGCATAAAAGGAAGGACCAAGATGCTTCTAATTCTAACATGACAATACAGATTAATTTGGAATTTGAAGAAGTTGGGTAAAATCCAACATGGCACGGGCAGATTTTGAAAGGAAGGAGAAGAGAAACCAATATACTGTGCCGCTACTAACCCGCAGGCTAGTTTAAAAGCTGGGAACGGGCTAGATTTAGGGTTAAAGACGAAATTTGTAGTGATTAGTGACCGTTAATCGATAATTATTCAGAAATCGTGAGATGCGGTCTGGTGAGATGTAGGTTTCAGAAAAAGAAAGTTAAAGAAAATGTTTTTCTGAAACCTACATCACACCAGACCGCATCTCACGATTTCTGAATAGTTAAAGACGAGTTAGGTTAGGTAGGGTTAAGATTAGAGTTTATGTTAAAAAAAAACTCTTTTGCCACATTTGCCCACAGGAGGACGTGTTTTGGGATGTACATAGTAACCGTAGGTTGGTGAGATTCAACCAATAAAACCGGACTTAACAATTAAATCTCTTGAATAAATATACGAGCCGATATGCTGTGGGTACAGAACATAATAACATTTTGCAACCTCACCCTGCTTATAACCCTAGCGTCTCGTATGCTATCTGTTACCCACATTTTAGATAAAGCTTTATTCAATATCTTATGGATTGGTTATCAAGAAGTGACTGCTTTGATTATGTTGAATCGTTAAAAATTATACTTTTATGCTGCTGGCAATATCGTAAAATTGTTTATTATAAACTATAGAAAACAACGTTAACAGTCTATGGATCAAATTGTGAAAAATCACCAACTATTGACGTCTTATTGCCCTGGTATCTACCATCCGAGATCATCCTTTCTTTAAGTCCTAAGGAGAAAAAAAGTTATATATAAGTATAAGAAATGTTCCGGAATCAGAGCCTCCTCCCCTGGGCGTTGCTTTTTTCGCCGATCCTTGCCGCCTGGGGATTGCTTCTCGAGGTCGTTCCTCCTGTCCACATCAGTGAAGGATGGCTTACTATATAGTTACATATACTACAAATGCATGTTTGTCTCTGTAGAACGAACGTTTAAAAAATAAAATTATTGAGCAAATTGCACATAAAATGTATGTACAATGGTATTTATGTCGTGAAGGTTTTGAGTAATTTAAAAATCAATTATTAGGTGAAATTTACTTACTTCCTATTACGCCTACGAAATCAGTTACTTAATAACTAATATTTGAATTTTATTTAATTAGTAAGGAAACGTTCAATGTCCAACACACTTAAAATTTATCAAATATCGATGCAAAAGTGGAGGACATGATTGAATAAAAGTGTTTCTTTAATAATCTTTCGCCTGGCTACTCCATAACATACTTTTTCTGATGAAGCAGGCTGTGGTCGGAAGCCTGTCCGACTTTTTAAGGCTCCGCCCACCGCCACCAATATGGCCATGCTTTCACCTACGTTTTCATGCCATTGACGGAGAAGTTCGTCGTCTAAGGAGCAGTTCAGTTCATGTGCATTCTAAGGGGCGAATAATTCAGGTGAAACTGGTACAAAATACCACCAAAACCTTAATGCCACGAAAGCAACCTGGGGATATAGTAGTCGACATCAATGTGCTTGCTTTTCATCCTTGGCGTAAGTGACGGGAGAAGGGCATGGGACAACCAAGATGGCCCTCCGGTCAGGGTTATGGGAGCGAAGTTCCTCGCATACTTTTTCGCATGGACAATCCCTCGCGTAAATTATGTTTTTGAGGAAGTGTAGCTATGAAGCCTGTCGGGCTCTTCTAGGCTCCGCCCATCGCCACCGAGATGACCATGTTTCACATATGGCTTCAACTCATTCGCGGAGAAGTTGAAATTTCATCCCTCAGGCGATTGGTGGAAAGAAGGCATGGGAATGCCTGTCTTTTGAGAGGCTTCCAATCTTTGTCGCCATGAGCTATTCTGCTAACTCTCTGGCGGTGTCCGCTGGGTCTTGAAAGTTGATGAGGTACCACGTGGCTTCCTCTTCGGATTTATCATTATAAAGTCTAAGGCCAATGACTTGTACAGCTTCGGTAGAGACAGCCATCTTCGATTCAATAATTCGTCGCTGTTGTGTTTCTCGACCACGCGGGACAGGCATAGTGTGTGCATATTGCATTCATAATATTCTAAAAGAAAGGTGATTGATGGTTTATATAAATATGAAAGATTTACCGACTGAAACTCAAATGAGATACTTAGGACTATACTCAGACAGCACATTGACATGGATTCCTCAAACAAGACTTAAAAAACGTAAAAAGAAGACTTTCAGAACCAAAATTTCTTTTGGCTATTAAAACGTATCTAAATCTATAAAAACTTTTACCACATTGGAAATAACGAGTGGGTCCACCACGCCATCACATATCCAATTCTTTAAATGAACGTTGCCTAGATAAACTGTGAAAATCTCTTACTACGCCATATAATCACAAAGACCTAAATATTACTTTTGTTGTACAGATCCTTTTTTCATAAAAGTTAAATACGAACAATTAATTAAGGTTTTTAGTTGAGATAAAAAAGTCAATGGCACGAGCGGGATTCGAACCCACGATCTTCGGTTAGACACGCCGCTGCTCTACCACTTGAGCTATCGTATTTATAAATTTACTGATGAATGACTGAAGCTAGGACAACATTTAAAAAGCCACCTTGTTCAGAGTAACATTTTCGAAATAATAAAACCTAGCGTAGGTTCGTGGCTTAAAATACTGAGAAAATAGGTATTTCCAAAATTGGCCATTTTTTCTTTTTTGTGGACAATGTATTATTGTCGTACTGTAATACTACACGTTAGGTACAAGGAGGAAAGGTCAAACCTATTTGAAATACTAAGTTCACTAATTTTGTAGTCCGCTTGACCAATTAATTATTACAATTACTTAAGGTTTTTTTAGTTGAGATAAAAAAGTCAATGGCACGAGCGGGATTCGAACCCACGATCTTCGGCTAGATACGCCGCTGATCTACCACTTGAGCTATCGTGACTTCGATCCTCGGACACCAACTTCCCATCTCAACCGCACCTTTTGAATTTTCCCTCCTTTTTGCCATTTTTCAATATATTAATTGGTCAAGCGGACCATGAAATTAGTGAATTTAATGATTTAAAATGAAGTGTACTTCACTAAAGCTCTCCGTGGCCATTTCATTTATCGCCGAGAATCCAATTCGATTACACGACATTTGAAAAATGGCAAGAAGGAGGGAAAATTCAAAAGGTGGGGTTGAGATAGGAAATTGGTGTCCGTGTGGATCGAGGACACGATAGCTCAAGTGGTAGAGCAGCGGTGCATCTAGCCGAAGATCGTGGGTTCGAATCTCGCTCGTGCCATTGACTTTTTTATCTCAACTAAAAACCTTAATTAATTGTAATATATTAATTGGTCAAGCGGACCAAGAAATGTTATATAAATACAATGTTTCTTTCTTTATGGTTTTTTACTGAATAGTTTTAAACAACCAGCCCGTGGTAAAGGAATGAAAGCATAATTTTGAAAGAGTTAGCTACCTTATGAACCGCGAACGTTCATGAATAGCACACTTGACATATTTTGAAGGTCTTCATATCAATACCCTGAATATGCTTAGCACAGTTTTGGTTGATAAATGTCTAATGTATCAAAAGTGTTTAAGGAAAACTAAACTTAAAAAATAAAGTTATTACTTTAGTACTTACCGGAATGTGTGAAGATGATAAATTCTCTCCTTCGCGTTGCTTATCTTCCATTAACAGCTCCTGAAACAGAAAAAATCATTATAAACAATTGAATTATTGATACAAAGCTCTTCCATTCAAAACCGTTATACAATGACCCTTTTCCAAGACAATAAGATGTTTGGGAATTTATTTGCACATAATCCGGACAGAGTTTGCCCATGTAGAAGCCCATCTGTGTACCTAGTCTGGGAGGATTAAAAGCGCTAATAACCGATAGCGTTTAACATGCGGTTGTCACACCCTATAAACTGTGTTTAATTGCGAGCTTGTGTACCCGGAGGGGAAAACACTGTCCAAAGACAACCGCAAGCAATTATCCACCCGTTGGTTTTCTCTGGACGTTCAATTTCCTTTGCAACCGTGTTTGCCTAGATGAACTAGTTAGCTAGCCTTTTGTATAGAGTGCATGATGGTTAAATCAGGAATCATTTTTTTAAATGATGATTCTACTCACATATTTGTTTTTTACAACAATCCGGATTTTCAGAATTAAACGCTCATTACCAGGTTGAAGGAGTTACAAACACGTCTCTCGACATGAATTGTAAGCGTAAAAACCTTTATTTGAAGAGAAAATTTGTTCGCGCTAATAAATTATGATAACACACAGGACTTAGTTCACACCACATCATTGTTTTCGGTGTAATACTACTGTGTACTCGGTGTAATTTGAAAATAAGCCATTACTTTGAAGCTAATAAATTACATTCAAATACACCAAGGTTTTCAACATTATTCAAGGTTGGAAAGAAGCCACTACATTCACGCTTATAAATTACATTTACATATACTAGAACCTTTCATTGACACTGGACATTCGATATAGACATTCATACTCCACGGGGTGTTCGGTATTTCATGGGGTAATTGAAGAACAAGGACTCTATTCACGCTAATAAATTACCTTCCCATGCGCCTGCGTCTTTCACATTGTTCGGTGTAATTGGGAAGAAGCCTTTACTTTCACGATAAAAAATTACATTCCTCCACACAACGGTTATTGACATTTTTCGGGGTAATTGATGAATTGATTCACGCTAATAAATTACACTCGCACATTCATTCACTCTACCCTAGAGTACTCGATATTCCTCAGGGTTCTTGTGGATAATCTACCTTTTTCGCTAATAAATTACTCTCCCACCCTAGAATATTCAATATTCAATGGGGTAATTTGAGTAGAAGCCATTACTTTTGCGATAATAAATGACATCACACGCCAGGGTTTTTGACATTCTTCGGGGTAATTGATGAAGAATCCTCTCAATTCACGCTAATAAATTACACTAGCACATTCATTTACTACACCAAAAATCCTCGGTATTCCTTAGGGTAATTGGGATTAAGCTGCTTTCACGCTAATAAATGACATTTGCGCATTCATTCAGTTAACCCAAAAAACTCAGTATTCCTTGGGGTAATTGGGAATAAGAATCCTTTCACGCTAATAAATTACACACACACACCCTAAAATATTCGATATTTCATGGGGCAATTTGGGTAAAAACCTTTTCTTTCGCGCTACTGAATTACATTGACACACTAGTGGTTTTGACATTCTTTGTGGTAATTGTTGAAAAATCCCATCTATTCACGCTAATAAATTATAATTACACATACAATATATCCATTAACATTCTCTAAAATTAATTAATCTTTATGTAAGGTATTCGTTGAAATAAAAAAGTCAGTGACACGAGCGGGATTCGAACCCACGACCTTCGGCTAAATACGCCGCTGTTCTAACCACATGAGCTATCATTACATCGATCCACTCGGACACCAACTTCCCATCTCAACCCACCTTTCGAATTTTCCCTCCATTTTGCTATTTATTTTATTATTATTATTTTTTAAATCTCACTTAATAACTTACATAAATATTAACTGAAAAAAGTTAGTTGGTCAATCCGTATTTGATACAGTCATTCACTTCCGAAAGTATGTAGTATTACTCTGGGTAATTAAAGAACAAGTACTTCCACCTTTCACTCTAATAGATTTCATTCATATAAGCCAGCGTTTCGAACATTGTTTGGGGTTATGGGATGAAGTGGTACATTCAGCTTATAAATTTGATTTACGCACGCCAGACAAGCATTACCCCCTAGAATATTTGATTTTCTTGGGGTAATTTGGGTAGACGCCTTTACTTGGGCGCTAATAAATTTCATTCACACACCAGAGTTTCTGCGTTCTTCGGGGTACTTGATGTGAATATTCCCCTCCATTCACGCTAACAAATGACATTCGCATATTCATTCACTCTACCCAAAATACTCGGTATTCCTTGGAGTAATTGGGAATAAGCTACCTTTCACGCTAATAAATGACATTCGCATACTCATTCACTCTACCCAAAATACTCGGTATTCCTTGGAGTAATTGGGAATAAGCTACCTTTCACGTTAATAAATGACATTCGCATACTCATTCACTCTACCCAAAATACTCGGTATTCCTTGGAGTAATTGGGAATAAGCTACCTTTCAAGCTAATAAATTACACACCTAGTATATTCGATATTCCATGGGGCAATTTGGGTAAAAACCTTTTCTTTCGCGCTACTGAATTACATTCAGACACCAGAGTTTTTCACATTCTTCGTAGTAATTGTTGAAAAATCCCCTCCATTCACGCTAATAAATTACATTTACGCACACCAGGCATTCACTTCCCAAAGTATTTAGTATTTCTCGGGGTAATTAAAGAACAAGCATTTCTTCATCTTTTCGCACTAATAAATTACATTCACATATACCAGAGTTTTGGACATTGTTCTAGGTTATGGGATGAAACTGTACAAGTACTGTTGTTTTTACGTTCACGCTAATAAACTGCATATTTGTATCAATTGTTGGAGATTTTTATTTAATATACCGTATTTCTTTTGGTTCATTAGATACTATTTTATTTTTTGGTGCATTGGAATTTTTTTTTTATATCCTTTGAACGTACAGCGTGTGATAACGATTCAAAATAAATTCCGCGTTTGGAGTTGTGTCGTTTCTTATTATTTTGGTTTAATCTTCCTTTTCGGTTTTGTCTCCAGACTCGAAGGTTCTTTACGAAAACAATGAAGTGTTGCCTAAAATTTACATTTTAAACGGTTCCTCTGGATTTGGGGCGAAGAAGGAAATCAAGTTGATTTATCCCGACAGGGCAAATAGGTATCAAAGATTGGACCGGGTCTTATACTTTAACGCCCCCCAACCCGTAGGTTAAAATATAGTAGGAGCAAGAAGGCAGAAAGGCTAGTATGTGACCCGTCTAACCCTATATTTCTATTAACCAGTTAATAAGACCATCTCTTATCAAGTGTGTGCATCGTGGGTAAATCACTTTAGCTCCCCTCCAGTTGCCAAGGTAACCTCAAGTCTGACGATCTTATACGTGCTTGACAAACAATGAGTATCTCCTTTACGCCTCCCCTGTAATATGCTAAGAGGGTGGCAGCCAACTCATATCGAGGTCGGGTCTTTGTTATAAAATTTTAATTTTTTTCTAAAGGAAAAAGCACAACTTTTGGAAAGTTTCTTCTAAGGAAAACAGCACGCCATAGTAAATTTTCTAATCAAGTTTAAATAGGAATAAGCTTAATTTTTTCATGCAAACGTCAAAACGAACATACAAACTTGATAGATTGTTTATAAATTAGGATAAATAAATTATTTTTCGAGACGAAACATGGCCATATCAGTAATATTTATTTTCCCTTCTGCCAGGGGGTAAATTAAGGTCGGTCTAATTGAAACAACGGATTTGACAGAGAAAATGGAAACTCCGAGAGAGATTCTAGGAAAGCATTTATCTCTCGTACAAAGACAAATAGAGAGGGTACAATAATCGCAACAGGCTTAATAATCAATTAGCAAACAGGGTAAAAGCACGGCTGCCGCTACCAAAAGATTCCTTTCAACCGTCTTCTTGTAAGATTTTATTGTTTTACAATAGCGTAGAGAAGTACTCTTTAATTTCGCCCTTATCACAGCACTATTCATTTTTTTTTTCACTAAGGGGAAAACGCCATGTCACGAGATCTATAAAGTCATAGATTTAGGGGTTCAGATGAAGGTCGAGGGTTTTATGAAGGCGTAAGTTTCTTGTGTTTCAAGACAAGTGGGATTTGTGATTTGTGTGATTAGTAACATTGGATTTTGGGAAATCGGGCTCTTGATTTCAGGATTTGGGACTGGATGGCTGAAATTTTTAGAGTTTGATGTGGTTGAACCGATTGAAGAATTCACTTTCATGTAGTTATGCCATCTTTTGCAGGGAAAGTTTTGAGTGGTTTTTGTCATCTGGTCAACTGTATTTGTTTTAGTCGAATATGGGATTTCCAAGTTTTTGTCGATGTAGTCCCAAAAAGCATAGGACATAGGTTACCGGGAAAGAAATAGAGTTTAATAAATTGGACCAGAGGCGACACGACAGAGTGTGGTCTTGTGTGAATCTTTGGTTTTGATGAGTCTGATCCTGCATTTCTAAAACTTTTCTTTAAACTCAAAATCCTGGAGGATTTTCTGATAATGGCAGATTCGTCTGAACACCTGACGAGTACTTTATCATTAGTAAAGGTTTCTTTCTGAACCACTTTAACACGGGATCATCCTGAATGCCAGACAGGATCTAGGTACGCTCAAAAGATATTGCATATGTGTATAGTATATCAGGATTGATAATAATGACTGTAATTTATACTAAAACGAGAATGGTACCAGTGTTGATACCTTGCGGAACACCCGCTTCGGCATGGGGGTGCGAGAATGATGTTCTGATTCATATATAAACTTAACTAACGGAAAAGCATTTTAGGTTGAGGTGCCCACTAGAGATGCATCATGTTTAGGTAAGCACTCGAACGGTATTCTTCTGGCTCAAAAATTTGGCGAATTCCTTCGACAAATGATCTCAGAGAGGGAAATCCTAGATGGTTTGGTGAAATAATGGCGGATCGTCAGAATATGTGACGATTACAGTATGAAGTGTGATAGCAAGGTGTTTATACTGAAAAGAGA